TAAAAAAGATTCAGAGGTTCCCACCCAAACCAAAGAAATATTATTAAACTAAAAAAGAAAGAGCAGCAGAAGCAGCGGCAGCGGCAGCAGCAGCTTTACAAGCAGTGGCAGGTATTGATATACCAGTGGATACATCAGATGGAAATGATTCAGTTGCCAATACGATTGCAGAGGATGAATTATATGATTTCCCATTAATAGAAACTTCACTGTGCCCATTGACACCAAATCCTAAAACAGGTAAAACAACATTTGTCGATATCTCTACTATATCTCAAAATGTGGTAAATAACTCTACCAAGGGAAATGCATTGGTAGCAACCGTACCAAAGAAACCTACTTATCCATCATTATTTTGTAGATACTGTGGAACTGGTCATAGTGCAGGTCAATTTGATAGTAGGCAAAAAGCCTGTTTATTACAATTTAAAGCAAATTCATTTACACATATCACAAACTCATTCCCACAAATTGTTATAACTTATCCAGCCAATTTTGATCCAGAATCAAAACATCCAAACTCAAATGCATTGGTAAGTTTAGATCTATTTTTTTCTTATTCATTAATAAAATAATATTAATTCTTTTATTTCATTTTTATTTTTAGTCACCAATTAAGGTTTTAAAGAAATCTAAATATCATAAAGATAAATTCCCAATCGAATGGATTCAAAATATTTTAAGAATTATAAATATACCAAGGTTAAAAGATTCAACATGTGATTTTAGCACAGAGGAGCTGTTATATATGAGCTCTATTTTATTCATTAGAGATTTGGTTGGGGAAGCTTATGGATCATATTTAGAAGAAAGAGAAAAAGAATCAAAAGATGAATGTGTTTTAAAACTTATTGTTCCTGCTCATCTACATTCTGCTATTAAAAATAACCCATTATTTAATTTTATTAGTAATACTGGTTTATATAACACTAAATAAAAAAAAAATAAAATGTATATAATATTAAAAAAAAAATTATTAATAAACAATCAACATTAGAAGAAATTGTTTAATTTAATTTTCCTTTCAAAAAAAGTAAATAAAGTTTTTTTTTTTCCCAATCGATTAAATTTATTATTTTTTCTTTAAATATTATTATTTATATTTTTATATGCCATTTACTTATTATATTTATTTATTTATTTAATTTGATTATACTATAATTTTAAAACCTCCACTTATAAAAACAATATAAAATAAAAATATTGCCCAAAATAGTAAATAGTAAAAAAAATTTATGAATAAATAAATAAATAAATATTATAAATATATAAATAAATAAATAAATAAATATATTATTTATAAAAAAAAATTTTTATTATATTTATGAATAAATAAATAAATAAATATATATTTATAAAAAAAATTTTTTTATAAATATATTATTTATAAAAAAAAATTTTTATTATATTTTATTTAAAAATTTAATGATGATTCAGTATATTATCATTTGATGTTCCAATATATTTGCCTGGCCAGGGAAAATGTATTTCTTCCATCAAATAGACTGAACTATGATTATAACATATTATATATTTGTTTCTATTATTATTATTTTTTTTAATTTTTTTTAATTTTTTTTTACTAATATTTAGATTGTTTGATTAAATTATTATTATTATAACATATTATATATTTGTTTCTATTATTATTTTTTTTTTTTTATTTTTTTTATTTTTTTTTTTATTTTTTTTTTAATAAAATTATTATTAATTATTATTGATTTAGAAAAAGAATTTAAATTTTCATCTAACCTATGTTATGATGATGATGATGATGATGATGATGATGCTGCTGCTGCTGCTGCTGATGTCGGGGAAACAGTGATAATGCTGCTGCTGATGGTGACGATGAGGACCAAGATGAATTCTGATGATGATGGGGCCCAAATATAATGCGGATGATGATGATGCTGATAATGCTGATGAGGGGCAAGATGAACGGTGATGATGATGGTGATGATAAATGGTGATGGTGAGGAATGGTGATGATTTGATAATGAAAATTCTGATGATGATGGTGATGATGATGATGATGATGAGGACCAAGATGAATGCTGATGATGATGATGATAATGATGATGATGATGATTATGCTATGATGATGAGGGGAAACAATGATGAATGCTGATGCTGATGCTGGTGATGCTGATTATGATAATGATGAGGGGCAAACAATGATGATGATTATGAATGCTGATGATGGTGATGATGGTGATGATGAGGACCAAGATGAATGCTGATGGTGATGGGGCAAGGTGAATGCTGATGATGGTGATGATGGGGACCAAGATGAATGCTGATGATGATGGGGGCAAGGTGAATGCTGATGATGGTGATTGGGCAAGATGAATGCTGATGATGGTGATGATGAATGGTGAGGACCAAGATGAAAGCTGATGATGATGCTGATGATGAATGGTGAGGACCATGATGAAAGCTGATAATGAAAGCTGATGATGCTGATGATAATGATGATTTTGATGATGAGAGCAAACGGTGATGATGCTGATGCTGATGATGAGGGCAAACAATGATGATGGAGGAATTTAATTACTTATTATCAGTTTTTTAACTTATAATTGATAATAATTTAAATAGAACAATTTATACTTTTAAATTGTTAAATATTAATTATTATAATTTGGTGATTATGATTAATGATTAGTTTATATTCAATACTATATAAATATTATTATTGACGATGATAATTAAATTGAACTATTTATACTTTTAAATTGTTAAATATTAATTTAATTACTATAATTGGTCATTATGATTATTGACTAGTGTATATTGATATTATTATTAATGATGATAATTAAATTGAACTATTTATACTTTTAAATTGTTAAATATTAATTTAATTATTATAATTAGTCATATAACTATTGACTGGTGTAAATTGATATTATTATTAATTAGACTATGATAATTTTAATTGCTATTATCTTGATTGATTATTGATTAATAATTTGAAAAGGTTATTGCCATTTACATATTGTGATGTAAAGGTGATTATGTAGTTTATGAGATGGGTAATAAGACATAAGATGGGTAATAGGATCATAAGTATTATTAATATAGTTGAATGGAGCAGAATTGGAATCAAAGAGGTTACGGAATACAATTTGAGCATAGCTTGAATGATTTCCAAAGAGAACGGTTAAAGATGGTTCGACAAAAAAGACTGAGGCTGGATGACGGTGGACATTAATTTTTGGAGCATTGGTGTTAATATTGACAATTGGCTCTTTATTTCCTAATAAGGTTTTGGTAAATAATGATGATGAGAGGCAAACAATGATGATGGTGATGAGGGGACATTGCATGTAGTGGTGATTGATGGTGTGATGAAGCCCAAATATAATTGTTTTGATGTTTTGATGTTTTTAGTGTTGTTTTTGAGCAAAGTAAGGTGTTCCATAATGGCTTTGATAATAAGTTGATCTTACTTCATCTATTAGTTCTACTCTACCAATATTTACTTTTTCCACCACTGATGGCATTAAAAGAGTCATTATAATTAGTATTTATTTTTATCACATATTATATATATATATAATTACCTGTTTGTGGTTCGCCTGGCTATTATAAAAATAAAATAAATGTATATTATAAACGAAATGGAAATTTAAAAAAAAAAAAAAAATTTCCCCCACGTCCCCCAAAAAAAAAAAACAAAAAAAATTTTTTTAAAAAAAAAAAAAAAAATAAAATTTAATTAAAAAAAAGAAATTTCCCACCCTCCCTAAATTTCTAATTAGAAATTACGAATATCATTATTAAAATAATAATAATTTTAAACAAATATAGATTTTACAATAATATTTTTTATAATTAAATTTAATCTAAAATTCCACTTTAAAGTATAATTACTATATTTTTTTTTTTAAAATTCATTGTTCAATTTAATTATTCAAATAATATTTTTTAATTAATTATAAAGAATAAATAAATCAAAAATTAAAAAAAAATAAAAAAAAAAGAATCTGAGAGTAAATAAATAAATGAAATGAAATTCACAAAAAAAAAATGTTTATTTATTTTTTATAATTAATTAAAAAATATTATTTAATAATTAAATCAAAACACTATATTCACAAGCATTAGATAATGGTTTCATTTTATGGGGTAGAGGCAACTAAAAATTTCTTATCATCAATAGTTTATATAAAAAATTTTAAACTATATTAATTTTATAAATTAATTTTAAGTTATTTGGAGAACTTGGTTCATTTTTAATTTTTTTTATTGATCTCTTAAAATAGTTTTAAAAGTTTAGTTTTGAATATATTTATTATTGTACAAAATTTACCCTTTAATTTTTTTTTTAAAATTTTTCTCAAAAAATTAATTTTTTTTAATTAAATCCAAAAATTTTATTTTTTTATATTTTTTTTATTTTTTATAACTAATATAATATTATAAATTAAAATGTATTCAAAAATTAAAGGAAAACCATATCAAAAAAAATATTTAACGAATAGATGCTTTTCAAAGGATTTAGTTATTACATTTCCAATGTCTGATGAACAAAAGCTTCAAGTCAAAGACTCAATTAAAAGATATAAAAATGAAAAGGAAAAAACTAAAAATAGTTTTGAAAAATTTCAATATATAATTAAACCAGGTATAAAAGATTTTTCAAAATGCTATTCATTTTTATTGGATGATAAAACTTTTGTTTTATTACCCGATAAATCATTTTTTAAAATAAACTTGGATAACATTCAACTATCTCATCTTTTTCAGTTGGTTAAAAGAGATAAAGGTGGCCTACTTTTTAGAACATTCAAAAGACAGCTTCTTAATAACTATGTGTGTATTTAGATAAATTTAGATATATAAATACTTAAACTTAAAATGTTTATTTTATAATTTATAAATTAAAAAAAAAAAAATAATATAGGAATTTATTAAATCAGGGTTAAGATTAAATTTGGTGGATCAAAAGAATATTTTCGGTAAACTCAATAACGATGGTAGTATGGATTTGATGTATTACAACCCTACAGGGTATTCACATATTTTTCACGAAGCAAATATTTCAAGCTGTTCATTTAAAGGTACTGAAAGATTTTATAACGATTTCATGTATGTATTTTATTTATAATTATATTTTTTATGGTTTAAATATATTAATTTATCTAATTTTAGAAAGAAAAATAAAGAAATAGAAGAAAAAATCCCATCTTTAAATGAGTGGGGTATAGTTACTAAGGTCACGCCATTGGCATCTTATGTTTTACCATCACTTAAAGAAATTTGTGTATCAGTTTTAAAAGAAATGTTTTTAATGTAATAAAAAAATAACCAAATTTTAACTTTATAATATATTAATAAATCTTCATTTATAACCACTTTATAGAGATAGGAAATCAATATTAGAAATAATTAAAAACTTACCAAAAATCATTTTAAACGATTTTATAAACAACTGTATGGATGATGAAAAACCAGTTGGTCAAGAGATCGTCTTCGAATTATTTAAATATTATTCAAATTTAAAAGATAATTGTAATTATAGCATTGAAGAGCTTTTCCCATTAGATAAATTATTAAAAAGTGGAATCAATAGAGAGGAGTGGTTTAGATACAACTATAGCAAAGGTGTTCCTCAAGATTTATTCTATCCGCATTATAACGAAAGTTTTGCAATCAATGTATATGAAAATTATAATCTATTCAAGAACAGAAAAGTACCAGCTGACTTAGAACATCAAATATTATTTAAATCAAAACTAAAAGACCGCGAGGAGACTATAGAAAGCTTTGATGGACACTCAATTGTAGATAAAGAAACCTTCTTAAAGAATTTCCATCGGTTTACAAATAACATGTTTCAAGATTTATCAAAAATTCCAAAAGGAGTTGTGTTCATTGGTGGTTGTATTACCTATTGCCTTTCTAACAATGCTGATCAACTTGAAGAAGCATATAAATATTCAGATATAGATGTGTGCTACATTGGCAATGACTTTGGTGAAAGATTAAGCAGTATTACAGCCTTTGAAGAGAATTATTTTGGGGACGATAGAGTTTATTGCGAAAATGATAATAAAAGAACAACAATATATGATTTCGAAAAAGACGAATATTACAAATGTGCATACTCATTGACCAAACTAGGCAAACATATATCAATCTCAAAGCATTTTCCATATAGACACGTTCAAATCAACACCAATTGTTATCGTTCAATCGAAGAAGTACTGATGGGTGTGGACATTGATGCCTCTTGCTTTTTATTTGATGGTCAGAATCTTTTTTGTTTAGAAAGAAGTATGCTCTCTGTAAACTATAAAATGAACATTGCATCAAATCACTCTTATTTAGTTAGGGAAGGACCACAATACCAAACTCGTTTACTCAAATATTTAGATCGTGGCTTTGACATTTTTTACATATCATCAGAAAAAATCAACGAAATTGTAAATAGTAAATTTAATCCAAGTTCAAATAAAGTTGGCTTTTCATTACTATACTCTGCAAAACTATCAAACAAAGTTTATCGATCCTTAACCGAAACAGAAATAATTGACCTTAATCAACCATATGGTAAAGAATGGAATCAAGTCAAATATGAAACCTATATAGATAAAACAATTAATTCGTTGTTTGATGGTTATGGTTCTGAAAAATCAGTTAGGAATATAATAGAAAGTATAGGTGAAGGACTATACGAGTTTGAATCTGATATTTATAATTATAAATATAATACATGGGAAACTGACTACAATCCAATAGAAATAATATATGCTGCAAGGGTAGAACCTACTGACTCTTATAACTATTATCAACTAAAAAAGAACTATCTAGATGTACTTCATAATTAAAAAAAAAAATAGAGTTCTAAAACTATTGTTTTCTTCATTTTCTTCCAATTGTTATTAGGGTGTTCATTTTAATTTTTTTTTGAATAATATTTTCTCTTTTTTAACTTTTTTTTAAAAAATTATTCATTTATCATCTCCAAATTTGTTCGATTGTCTGTAACAACTTAGAAAAGCTTTCTATTGCAATAGAAAGACAAAGAGGCAACCAAAGGTACATTTCTTACAATTGTTCAGTAGGTATTTATTAGAGTTTGAAAACTATCGTTATCATTTATCTGAAGTCAGATATTAACTTTTTAATTGGTTTTGAAAGGAAAAAAAAATATTAAAACGAATAATTTAAAAATGAAATTTTAAAAATATTAAAAAAAAAAATAGAATTAAAAAAAGGGTGGAAAAGAAAAAAATTGTGGATAAATTTTATAAAACAAATAATTTTTTAAAAAAAATTTAAAAAATAAATAAAATAAACACATCAAAATACCTCATTTATTACAAAAAACTTTTTTTTTTTTCGAAAAGATTCCAGATTTTATTTTGATATTCAATTTTTTTGCCTCGTTCAAAATTTTTATTTTTTTTTTGAAAATTTTTTTTTTTTTGGAAAATAAATTTTTTATGAAATTTTTTTTTTTTTTATACTATAAATTTTTTATATCATATTCGTGTTGCTAAATAAAATGACCCATAGTTATAATGTTTTATTTGGTGGAGAAGATAAATATCTGGCTAGTAAATTGGATAAAGCAATGCTGCATTTGCTAAATATTGTTTATGATGATGATGATGATGATTATGGTTGTGATTATGGTTATGATGATGATAATTCAAAAGAGACTCTAAAAAATCATTTTATAAAAATAGATGATATTTCAATATCAATTAATAATGTATGCAAATAATAATAATGGATTATAAACAAACAAATTCATAATTTTTATAACACTAACATTTAAAATTAGATAAACAAAATAAAAAAATTAATTTTAGAGACAAAAAAAATTGAAACAAATATAGCATATGATTCAAAGTATTTCGCAGTTTATAGTTTTCTAACATATATTAAAGAAAGAAACCCAAAAACTTCGTGGGATATCAAAAGATTTGACACCGATAATTTCCTTTTTACTTTTTCTAGCAAAGTGGAATTTACTATTAAAAATGATTCAAAAAATATTTATCTTGTAAGTAGATTTTTTTACACACAACCCATTAAAACCAATTTAAAAAAAAAACAAAACTATTAACATTAATATCTAATTTTTACAGGGTTTAAGAACACCAATATCAAAATTACATAGAAGGTTTGATGAAAAGTTTATTTTAAGTTTAAATGATATCGATAATCAATTTACATTTCCAAATTTATTTCAAGTATTATTTAATTTAGACAAGTACTTTTCTATTAATAAAGAATTATTCAATGTTTTAATAGAGAAATTTGAACCACCTCTGATTATAGTCGGGAAAAATGGTGCTGGTAAAACTAAACTATTCAACGATATTAAAGAAGATTCCAATTTAAAAAATTTTTTTAAAACCAAAAATGCTATTTATTTAAAAGATTCAATGATTTTATCTTTTGATGATAGTGCCAAAAACCTATTATCAGGTTTTATTAAAATCTACCAAGCACACTCATTATTAACAGAATATAAAGGAAATGGCCTCAATAATTATATTTGGGATCAAGTAAACGAGATGCTAAAAAGGTACAAATTAACATTTGAACTTGTTCCAGCAACAAAATCCAACAAAGATAACCAACTATGTTTTAAGAATGAAAGAGCAGATTTATCATATGAAGATCTGTCCTCTGGTGAAAAGGTTATCTTTTTTTTGATCGGCTTGTTTATATATTACAAAAGCTATTCTAAAGAATATAAAGAAGGTGAAAAGTTTTTATTGTTACTGGATGAAATAGAATCACCGTTACATGCAAAATTTCTTCAAACTGCCTTTTTTAAAATAATTGATGAAATTCAAACCGTCTTTGTTGTTCTACTATCAACCCATAATACAACATCCATTCGGGTATCTGCACTACATGGTTTTAATTATTACGCAATTGACAGAAACAATGAAAACAAAATAATAATAAAAAAAATCAAATCCCACGAAAATGCAATTCATCAAGTTAGTGACGGAATGTTAGCAGTTGTAGATAATTCAAAGCTTGTATGTGTCGAAGATGTTGATGATAGAGACTTTTTTACCAATGCATTTCAAAAAATTATATTGGGACAAAAAAACAAATTTAAAAACTATACCAAACTAGTATTTTTTGAATCTTCCTCACAAAAATTTAATATAGAGGATTTAAGAAATATTACAGAAGAATTAAAAAAAACCAAAGAGAATATCACCAATATTAAAGACATTACAGAAAATAAAATTCTAGATAAAGTTAATTCAAGTTTAAAAGGGATAATTGGAAAAGTAGAAAAATTAAAATCAGGAAACGGTGTTGGTGGAAGTTCGTATGTAAAGAAAATGGTAAAACTATTATCTCAAAAGGATCTCTCGGGTGAATCATTTATATTAGGAATTTCGCAAATTCTTGGTTTAGTTGATGGTGATGATGACTCAAAAAATTGTGATTATATTGTAAAACTAAAATATTATTCACTCGAAATGTATTTATGTTCACCGTTACTATTATATTTTGTAAGAGACGAAAGAAACAATAACTATAATAATAGCTGTGAAGAAACTGACCCAGCTAAAATGATTGATTTTGTTGTTATATTATTAAAATCAAAAGAAAAAGATGTTAAAGAATTAGTGAAAAATGAAGAGGAATGGAAAAAGCGTATTGATACCTTTTACGATGGTCTTTCAAATACTATAGATGTTCAATTAATAAATGGAAGTGTACAAATACCTGAAATATTCATTAAAGGTGTTGGTGATGCTGGCGGCAGAGGTCATTATTTATTTGAAGCCTTAGTTAGAATCTATTCTTTGGGTGCCTCACTTCAAGAATCAACAAAATTGTTAAAAAACCAACTTAAAAATATTTTTAAAAACACTCTTGATATCGGAAATGTCCCAAAAACATTAGAAGATTCTTTGGTAGAACTTATGAGCTATTCAACAGAGAAACCATACTAATAATAATAATAATAATAATAATAATAATAATAATAATAATAATAATAATAATAATAATAATAATAATAATAAAAGAAAAAGTAATGAAATAAATAAAGAAAAAAATAGATCACTAAGTAAAAGTAATATTAAAATTAGTGATGAATAAAATTAAAATAAAATAAAATAAAACTATACTTTTTTTTTTTTTAAAATAAATAAATAAATAGGGTTTTGTTTTTATTATTTTGTATTATTATTTTATAATAATAAAGATAATAAAATTAATGATAATAAAAAGATTGATACATTTGATTTAGTAGCAGCGGAATCAACTGAACTTGAAGATCCTGAAGAGCCTGAAGCGGATTGACTTGAACTGGTATCTGATGAATTGGTTGATGGACCATATACACTGGCATAATATTTACCAATTGATGAAAGATCACCTTTTCCGTTTTGATTTAAATATAAACTGTTTATATTTCCTTGAGTATAGAATGGAAGGAACCATGAATAACCTGCGACAATATCCGAAGCTTCTAATAATGGAAGTAATTTTTGTGCGTATTTAAGAATATCTTGATCGGTTTTACCACCTTCGCAATTAAACTCGGTTAACCAAACTTTTTTACCAGTAGCCTTATTTAAATTTGTAATTTTGTTCATAACATCATCAGCATCGCAATAGTAGATGTGAATATTGGCATAATCGACTTGACATCCTTTGCATGAATTTAAGAAATCAGTGTACCATTTGACTGAACCGTAATTGCAATTGGCACCATTTGGATCTGAATTATCTGGGCAATCTGCTACACTTGGACCAACAATGCTTTTGAAACCCAATTTTTGAATATCTGGCCACTTTGCTGCTGCATCTGTTGGACTTAGGTTGGCTTGTGTTTTGAAATTTGGTTCGTTAAAAGTAAATAAAACATCGGCTTTGGCAATATTGGCTGTATCGTTTAAGTTGTTTTTACCCCAAATAGTTGGATAGAATTTTACATTACTGATAAGATTGGCATTTTGTACACAATTTGGTTTGAGATCCCAATTATAATACCATGATACATTTAAATCTTTGATATCATTACAAATTGCAAGGTCACCGAAGGTATCGCTACCAAAAGTAGTACCTTTTTTACTGGCTTGAACGAAACCAGAGATTGTTAAAACTAAAGTGATAAATAAAATTAAATTATTTTTATTTGTTAAAAGCATTTTTTTTTTTTTTAAAATTAATGGAATGAAAAAATTAAAAAAAAAAAAAAAGTTTAAATAATTTTTTTTTTTATTTTATTTTATTTTTTTTTTTTTTTTTAAGATGGTTGGTTATTTGAAAATAATTTTGGACGTATGATTTTATAAATTGCGTAGGGAAATAAATATCTATATAAAAAAAAAAAAATTGGTTTTTTCTTTATTATAAATAAACCCATTACATACTCGCAACTTAAGCAAAAAGAAATGTTTTCTTTCTGACCCAAATTAAAAAAAAAAATAGATAATTTGCAGGTAAAGATATTTAACAAATCATAAACGTGATTAAATAAAACCACAAAACCACAATCAAAAAAAAAAAAAAAAAATTAAAAAAAAATCTTAAAAAAAAAAAAAAATCTAAAAATAAAACCAAAAATATCTTTATTATTATTTATTTTGTTTTAATTATAAATTTTATAATTATTTATTTAATTTTATTTATTTTTTAGTCATTTATATTTTTATTTTATTTATTTATTTATAATTTACTTTGTGGCTTTGGTTGTTGTTGTTTTTTATAAAAAAGTAAATTTGGAATACCAGCTTCCATTACTCTTAAAGCTTCAAGAGCACAACCCCAACTAACAGTAAAACCACTACCACCATGACCATAATTGTGGACGACTAATTTTGAACCACCTTCAAAGAATTCATTTTCTAAACGAATTTCGTGTCTTGATGGTCTGAGTCCTACTTTTACATCTTGAATTTCGATTCTATTTTTAGCAAAACGTGGTGAAATCATAGCAACACGTTTTAAGATTTCTTCGGTATCTTGTTTGGTTGGCTCGGTATTGTAATCGTGTTCTTGATTGGTTCCACCTAAAACAGTATTTGAAATACGTGGAATTACATAAGCAATGTGATCCTCTTCATCCATAATGGAACGTTCTGATGAATTCTTGATTACAATGATTTGACCACGACTTGGGTAAATGAGTTTGTCTTTGAATAATTCACGTGATCCTAAGCCGGTGCAATTAATAACGGTATCATAATGTACAAAAGCTTCACGAATGTCTTCAACTTCTCTTTGTTCAATTGAACCACCTAATGACTTGAAGGTTTGTACTAAATAGTCCATATACATATCGGTATCCATTACAAAGCCATCATCAACTGCAAAACCATCGACATAACCTTCTGGTAATTCATCTTTTCTTGCTCTTCTAAATGATTGAACGTATGGACGCCATTCTGGGTCTTCTTTGTGTTCACGTCTAAAAATTTCGTTAACTTTTTTAATGAGTGTACCTGATTTTGGATCACCAATGATATGATCTTTAAAGTATTGCATAGTCTCTGCTGACCATTTACCAACTAAATCTGGTGGGTTACAAAGGAATGGATACCAAAGGGCAGCTGCTTTATTTGAGGTAGTGTTTGGTGGTAAATCTCTGGACCAGATTTGTACATTATATTTACCAGTTTTTAATAAAACAATACCTGTAGATAAACCAATACATCCACAACCAATAATTAAAATATCTGTTTTACTATTAACTTTATTTAATGACATTTTTTTTATTATTACAATTATTTATTTTATTTATTAATTTTCTTTATTTTTTTTTTATTTATTTATTTTATTTTTAAAAAAAAATATCTGTGTGTGTATATGTGTGGATTGTAATTTTATAAGCAATCTAAAAAACAAAAAAAAATTTTAAATTTTTTTAACGAAAAAAAAAATAAAAAAAAATTACAATAAAAAAAAAAAAACTTATCATTTTTGACATAAGAGGTGAAAAAAAAAATTAAAAAATAAATTTGTATTAAATTTCGCATGACATACCATATAATGATTTTTTATATTTTTTTTTAAAAAATAAATAAATAAAAAATCAATGTTTTATTATTTTAATTTATAATCACTGTTTTTATTTAAATTTTATAGAAATAATAAAATTTCGATCACAATATAAAAATAAAATTTTAATTTTTTTATTTTTTTTTATTTTTTTATTTTTTTATTTTTTAAATTTCCAACCTGGGTTTTCATTTTTTTTATGTTATCTGTTTAAATAATATTTAAAAGAAATGTATATCACCATTTTTAAATAATTAATCAAGTAATAAAGTAATTAAATAATCAAGTAATAAGTAATCAAATAGTCAAGAAATCGAAAAAAATAATTCTATTTAAAAAGTTTCGTAATTTTTTATACAACCAGAAAATTTTTTTCAAGAAATATTGTAAATAAAAAATAAATAATAAATTAACAATAATAAATTAACAATAATAAATAAAAAATAAATATTTAATAATTAATAATAAATAATAATTTATATATAAAAAAACTTTTTAATAGAACAAAATTAAATTTAAATAACTATTTTTTTGTATTTTTTTATTTTATTTTTTTTGATTTAAATAAATAATATAATTATCTAGATATTTTATAAAATATAAATATGTTGAACGTAAAGATGGGCAGTGTTATTACCTTTAGCAATATAACCAAAGTTATGAGTTTGGGATGGTTTTAAATTTAAATAATTTGGGAAATTAATGATAGAGATATTATCTGCATATGAACATTTGGATATACCCCACATTTGATCATTATTAAGGTGGACATCTGCGGCAACCACAATATTTTTAATTAACCTATTAGTTTGGTTTATTATATCCACAGAGACTTGAATTGATGGATTGGAGTCAGAGTCATTCCAACGCTTCATTACATTTTGAATAATTGTAAGATCCTCTGAATTATAAACGCAATGTTGGATTAAATATTCAGTTTTACAAGTTTGATTTGGTAAACATGTAACACCACCACACTTGACCTCTATTGAGAAAGCTAAATTAAATACTAAAAAAACTAGTATTATTAAAGTTTTTAAAATGTTCATTATTAAATATTTTTTTTATATTTTTCTTTTTTAATATTTTAAAAAAAAAAAAAACAAAAAAAAAAAAAACTTCAATTTATATATCATATCAAAATTTAAATTTAACTTTTATTATTATTTAAATTTAATTATTTAATTATTTAATAATAATATTAATGATGATGATTATGATGATTAGTGTTCAAAAAATTTATTTACCTTATAGAGCTATTCTAAAAAAAATAAATAAACACAACGTTAAATAAATAATTTTTATAGGTGTGGGTGTTTTTAAAGAAAAAAGATAAATAATTAAAAATATTTATTTGTAGAATAATAAATTTTAATTAGTACAGATTAAACATTTATCTTTTAGTAATATTTTAAAAAACATTATTCTAAAAATAACAATGTTGTTATTTTCATCACGAAAAAAATGAAACAAATAATTTTAAAGGAATAAATATTATTTCTTGTTTTTTTGAAATTTTTTTTTATAAATTAAACTATTTAAATATTTAATATTTATTATTGGTTATAATTTGAATTTTTTTAAAATTTTATTTATTTATTTATTTATTTATTTATTTATTTATTTTCTTTCAATAAAATTTGATTTTGGTATTTGCTCTACATCAAATGAACAAACAATAAAATCATCAAATACTATAATTGTTGAAAGACCATTATATTTTATATCTTGAATACCATATTTATATATTGAAGTTGGTGATTCATGAATACCAATTTTAGTTTTTTTATTATCAAAAAAATCTTCTTGTTCACGATAAAGACTTTGGTAAGCACGAGTGTAAATTGCTAATAGCTCTATTGGTGTTATATCGGTTCTATCAGGTCTTGTTACTTTAACAATATGGTTCTTTGTTGTATATTTATCGAAAACACAATATACATTTTTTATTCCATTGGCAATGGGGGAGTTGTCTATTTTTAATTTTTTGTTTAAAAATTCATTTTCTTTTCCTTGTTCTTTATACTTTATAAATTCTTTTTCTTTTGTTTCTGGTAAATGTAATTTTTTAATATTGTGAGTTTCTAAATATTTCAATTTGTTTTTATTTAAACTTTTTATAAGTTGTTCTTTTAACTTTCTTGTTGAGTTTACTGAATTACTTGGTGAAAAATTTCCCAAAGAAGGTATTACCTCTTTATTAATCGATTTAATTTTTGAAGATGCAATTAATGTTCTGTCTTGATAATTTGCTTTTTTAATTTCGAGTTGGTCTAAATTACACATGTTATTATCTTTATATTATCTTTTAAAATGAAAAATAATTTATAATAAAACATTAAAAAAAAAAAATAAAATAAAAATAAAAGTAAAATAGAAAAATAAAAAATTATTTATTTAAAAATAAATAAATAAATCTATAAATAAAATATTTTTATAAATATTTTTTTTTTTTTTTTTAAATCTAAATCTAAAAAATAAAATAAAAATATTAAATTATAATTTTTCTCTTCAAAATAATTATTTTTAAATTATAATTATTAAAAAAAAAAAAAATAAAAAAATGTGTCGAAGGATTACCTTTTATGAGAATTTTATATTTAATAATTCCAACTGTAAATGATACAGATGATATTGTTTTACTATTTATATACAAATTATAATTTATTTAAAAGATTTATTCGTATAAGTTTGGGTTTGGGGTGGCAACAGCTAATAATTCATTGTCAGCGAACCATAATTTTAATTCACGAGTTGATGATTCAACACTGTCTGAACCTGTTTATGATTGAAAATAAATAAAAATTTTTATATTAGTTTTTAATTAATATTTAAGGGTCTTTAAAAAAGTAAATATTAATACTAACCGTGGATGATGTTTTTGGCAACATCGATGGCGTAGTCACCTCTGATGGTACCTGGGGCTGAGGCTAATGGATTGGTGACACCGATCATTAAACGAGCAGCAGCAACAACACCTTTACCTTCTAAACAGATGGCAACGACTGGACCTGAAGTGATGAATGAGACTAAACCACCGAAGAATGGTCTTTCTTTGTGTTCAGCATAGTGAGCTTCAGCTAATTCTTTGGTTGGGGTTAATTGTTTTAAACCAACAACGACGAAACCTTTCTTTTCGAAACGGGCAATGATTTCACCGACTAAACCACGGGCAACACCATCTGGTTTAACAGCAATGAAGGTTCTGTGTGTTTAAAAAATTTTAATTTTTTTATTAAAAATAAAATAATTTTGTAAATAATTTATTCTTGAATCAAATATTTGTTTTAGTTATTATTTTTTTATAAAAAAAAAAAGATCTATACCTTTCTCTTTGGACTGACATTATTATTTTATTATGTTTATAACAAGCTACAACAAAAAAAGAAAAAAAAAAAAAAAAAAATTTTGTTGAAAATTTTCGAAAAAAAAAAAATAAAAAAAATAAAAAAAAATAAATAAAATTTTTTTATAATTTTTTTTAAAAAATATTGTTATTTCAAAAAAATAAAAAACTATTATCTGAAGTTCAGTTTAAAAAGCAATAAATAAAAAAAATAATAATTTATTATAGTTTAATCTAATTAGATAGAAAGAGAGATTTTTATAACTTCAATATCTTTATTTTATTTTAAAATTTTTTATTTTTATTTGTTTTATGATTTTTTTTTTTTTTAATTTATTTCATCCCACCCCCACGAATAGTTTGTTAATTTAATAATTCGATTTTAAAATAAAAGTTATTTATTAACATTCAGAAAATCATTTAAACTTCTTAAATGATCAATAAATAGTTTTAAAAAAAGTCGGTAATTAAAAAAACAGGATAAAAATATTAAATAAAAATAATCCTATGTATTGATATAAAATAATATCTAAAATTAATTTTTTTATTCATATTTTATTTTTATTTTGTTAAATCTTGTAATTTTTTGAGCATTAAATCAATAATGGTTGATTTTTTATCTAAACGATTTAAAATTGCATCAGATAATTTAATACCACCAAGTTGATTAATTTCTCTATCGAAAATGGATTGTTTTAAACGTTTAAGGAATGTATCAATTTCTTGATTTGATAATTCAGATTGTGGTGGAGTGTGTGGTTGGGAAAGTTGAGATTGTTGTAATGGTAAAACCATTCTGCTATTAGTTAATGATTGTTGGTTTTGAGCTGGAGTTTGATTCATTGAGATTTTAGGTGGATTTTCTTGATGGCTCTTAAATATTGAGAAAACTGATGATAAAACACCACCATTTTGGTGTGGTTTTGATTGTAAAAATACGTCACCATTTCTATTTGTAGTTTGTTGTTGTTGCTGTTTATTACCGATGGTACTATTATTTAAATCGCTAATTTCAAATTTACTGTTATTGTTGTGATTGAATTGTGAGGATGATAAAACTGGTGAAATTTGATTTGATTGGAATAATATGCCCAATTGATTACTGAAATAGTAGGAATGAGTTACAATTAAAATTAAAAGTAATTCAATATTATCGAAAATGGTTGAGATTTGAGTTTCGATATCATTGATTTTCTGTTTCAAAATATTTAAAACCATATGATTTCTTTGAGATGGTGTAAGAGTATCAGAGTTTTGAAGAATTTCTTGATATTGGACATAGGTTAATTGTTCATAGTTATCCAATAATTTTTGGCATTGGTTTGAATCCATTTTATAAAAAGTATATTGAATTATATTATCAATTAAAAAGTTGATTGCTAAATCCAAAGATGGTAATAATTTAGAATTTGAAGAAATTGATCCAGATGGGTTTGAGACCATACTATTTTGATTTGATCTTGAAAAGCTGCTACCGAAATTTAAAATATTTAAATTTGAATTGAAACAAGTAAACCCAATTCTTTGATCAGTTAAAATGGAAACTTTTCTGCAATACATAAGAAGATCATGAGTAATTGAACAGATCATTTGTTTAATTAAAATTTGGAATTGATTCTTCTTTTTGTTTAAAGCATCATGGTGTTTAATGTTGTTTGCTGCTGAATAACTAAAGTCGATTTTAGAAGCAAGTTCTTCTTGATCTTTATCATCTGGAATGGTTTTTTCAATTATTTTTTTGCTATTGGTAGAGTATTTAATTAAAAGATTGGTTAAGCAGTAATGGAATCTGAGGAATCTAGCTTTTTCTTTAGATTGATCTTGTTGTGATTGTTTTTTAAAGAATACAAATGAAACCTTAGAAAAGAGATAACAGGTTAATTTTAATATTTCTAAATTCTTGTAAGTATAGTATTCTTCTTCCTTGTTGTTATCTGATAAAATAATTGTGAAAAGCTCTGAATGATTCATAAGGAAATTGAAGATATCTTGATAAATTTCGTGTTTATCGTTGTGATGACCGGAATGATTACTATGATTTCCATAGTAGAGACAGAGTGAAGCGAATAATTTAAGAATTGGTAATAAAATTTCTGAAAATTTGTTGGAGATCTTATCGGTTGGAATGTAATTAAGGAATGAAGAATCTACAAAAGTTTTGATTACACCGTTGTTAATTAAAATATGAACACCATCCATTTGTTGACTTATTTTTAAGAGAAGTGACATTTGGGATCTATAGACATAAAGATCTTTTGATTCTATATTTTCCCAATCATTACTTAAGAAATTTGAGGTGTAGACTATCATATTAATAATGAAACCTTTGTTTTGAAGGAATAATAAAGTACGATGACCACACAAGTTATCAACTGAAAGTATTGCTTGAAGACAACTTAAAGCGGCTATTCTCCAACCACGGCTGAATGAAGTACAATCTGATGAAAGGGTACGAATAAATTTATCTTCAATTTTAGAAACCAAATTTAAATTTAAATCATTAATTAATTGAATTTGCTCTTGTTGTTGTAATGATGATGGTGATGATGGTGACGAAGATGAAGATGAGGCTGCTGGTGGTTGCTCTGTTAAATCTAAATATTGAATGAGACAGATATAACTGAGACCTCTAATGATATAGTGTGGTGATTTTAATACAGCTTGTAAGAGACCCTCTAAAATTAATTTCATTTTTTGTTCGATAATATCATTTTCACCAGCGGACATTGTTTGTGAAAATAATTGATAGTTTTGTTTTTTATCTTTTAAAATTGAAAGAATGGTTGTAATGGTATTACCAATGGCCAAACATGATTCGACTGGTTTACGTTCATTAGCAAAATCTGTAACAATTCTTTGTAAAAGTGAGAGTAATAAATTTTCGTCCAATACTTCAATTTCGATGGTATTTTGGCAGAGAGATACCATAACAAATGATTTCCAACTTTCTAAAGCACGTTTTTTAGCGTTGACCAATTGATAAGTTAAATTTGAATAGCAGCAATCCTCTAACTCTTTGTCAATTTCGAATTGATTTGAGAATCTGTTACGGTCACTTTCTAAGAGTTCACGGACTTTTGGAATATTTAATAATGTGATGCCATTAGGTGAGGTTTGGAAAATTGGTGAATTTGCGCAATTATTGGAGTCAAGTTGTGGATAAATTGAGAAAAGTCTTGGTTGGCTAACTTCAAGGTTAGCCATTGGATATTCTATTGTGTTATAAAGAGTAAGTACATTAATTGATGACATGATCATCATGGTTGAATGAATATTCATTGCTGGGAAAATGTAGTTTGAAAGGAATTGTTTCATATCGAGTGAAAAATAATTTTGAATTGAAATTGCACAACTGTTTAATACCCATGATAAAGATGAAATTAAAGTTTCAAGCTTTCTTTCTGAACCACCATTGATAGCAATAGAGTTTGTTAAAACTTCCATTGAATTTCTATAATATGATGGGTATTCTTCATTGATAAACTTGAGCATTGGTGAATAGGTGACTGGGTCTTTAACCATTTTGTAAATAATTTCATGGAAACATTCAACCAAATGTGGATAACGTTCAACAAACTGGGCATCTTGAACGTGTTTTAGAATAAGAGTTAAACAACTTCTACTATTTGGTACAAAATCTTTAGAGAGGTCAATATTTGAGCAACAGCCTAAAAGGAAGTGGCCAAGGGTATAAGTATTTGGTTGGCACTCTGAGAGACAAAGGAGAATAAGTTGAGCGATAGTCCATTGAACTGAGCTTGATGTATATAATGCAAAATTGACATATTGGGTATAGACACTACCTGAGAAATCTTCAAAGTTAGTTTCGTTGTATTCCATCATCTTAACAAATCTTAGAATAATATCATCCGGATTATTTTCAAGGAAAACTGTTGAAATACGACGAGTATAAGTTTCGAATGAATAAACTAATCTAAGAGCTCTAAGAGCAACTGCTGGTGATTCATAATCGATTAATTTGGTAATTGAGACGATTGGTTTAGATTTATTCATATTTGAAAGATTTGAAACCAAACACTTGGCATCATCAATTGAAAGGACGGTACTATCAGAGACTAATAAGAGAATATCTAAACATTTATTTAAGAGGACTCTAAAAACTTCGTTATCTTGTTGCTTTTGTTCTTGTAACACTTGTAATGTGTAATAATTGGTTTCTGATAAATTTTTTTGTTGTTGAAGGTATTGTTGTTGTTGTGGTGAAGAGTTTGATGATAAAAGTTGTTGTTGGTAATGTTGTTGTTGTTCTTGTTGTTGTATATCGATTGTATTTTTGATGTGAGAAGCTTGATCATTAGCAAAGTCAATAATCTTTATAATATTTTCTAAAGTTTTTGATTTTCTGTTTAATTCAAAAAATAATTTGTAAACTGGATGGCATTTATCAATGACACAATTATTAACACCAGAGGCATTGAATTGTTTAAGGCAATATTCAAATATCTTTACGATAGATAAAGCAAATTTCCACTTTTCATCAAAGTTGTTGAATGATTTGTTGTCGATAAAATTAAAAAGTTCCATACATTGATCTAAATAGTTGGTTAATCTAACACTTTCTGAACTATTTTTGTCAAAAATAAAGTTTGAGGAGTTGTGAATAATAGTTGAGAGTAACTCTAATGATTGTTGAGCAATTGGTAAATCATTTGAACCACCAGTTAAAGAGAGACCAATCCTGAGTAATTGAGTATCGATTGTGCAAAACTTCCAAATATCGCCTAAATAATTGGTGTATTTTGAAAATGCTGTAATAAGACGTAATGCTGCAGATTTTAATTTGGTCTCGACTTGGAAAAGTGAAAATTGAACAGCAATACCAATTATGGGATGGGTTTTTGTGATCATTACAGAAACTTGAATTGAAGATTCAACTAAACGGGCTACTAATAACAAAATATTGGTTAAAACATCGATATCTTTTGGGGCAATATCAAAACTATTTGAACCATTCAAACTTTTGACGTAGGAATTTATATCTTGGAATAATTTATGCCATGAAAATTGGCCACTGGTAGCAAAGAAATTATAGACTTCAACAGTATTAGATCTTGCTAATGAACCCATTAATCTAAATGATGAAATGATAATATGATCTGGAATTTGGAACCATAAATAATTTCCAAAATAACCAGTTTCTTCACCTCTTCTCCAAAATTCATGTGAATTTATTAATTGATTATCAAAAATATTTGCCATTACAAAATTAAAATTATTTACAACTTCAGCATCTAATTAAAAAATAAAATTAGTATTGCTATATGTATAGGTATAGGTATATGTATATTGGTATTACTTACTTGAAGCTAATCTAATAGATTGCTTTTCTGGTAAAAATGTTATATATTTACAAGATAAAATGTTTATAAATGAACTTAAAAATAAAGTTAATTGTGAAACTTGAAATTCTTTAGCTTGAACAACATTTAACAAAAATATATATGGATCACCTTCAAATGGTAATTTATTTGAAATACCTTGGTTACCAAATCTATCACTATCACCTTTAATATCCTATTTATTATTATAAAAATTAGTAACTTTAAAACTATAATTATAACTATAAACTTAAAAACTTTAGAAACACATACTTTATAAACAAGATTATAAATTAATAATAATGATGGTTTAATATCTTGAGTTTGTTGAATTTGTTGAATTTCATTTTCAATTTCGTCTGGACGTTCAATGTGATTATGAGTAAAACGTTTTTCAATTGGATTATAAACTCTGCTATTTTTTGTGCCATCAAAAATTGAAAAGAGTGTGAAGTATTGTAAAAATATAATTTCAAATAATGAATTCTTTAAAATTTGATCAACTTGTTTTTCTATACATAAATTTAATGATCTGATAATTAATTTAATAATATCTTCTCTAATTGTAAACTAAAAAGAATGGTATTAATATTAATAATAAATAATTATAGTTATAAAAAAACCAAAATCAACCTACTTGAACTGAAATTAAAAACAAGGTTTCTGCGATTTGTGTACATTCTTTAATTCTATAGGAGCATTCTAATGGATTTGCTGTAACATTCATTGATGATACTTTTTCTTCTAAAGTTTTAATTAAAATGTTTAATATATTCTTTTCATTGCTTTGTTCTGAAATTAAATCACCAACAAACTGTTGTAATGTATCATGCTTTAATTTAGAACCAACTTCGCCTTGTAATGTCTGTAGATACAAATAAACAAAATAAAATATTAGTTAAATGCAGTGTGGGTTGTAAAAAAGTTAAAACTATACTTACAAATAAAATTTCTCTTAGAAATTGTAAATAACATGATCTATTTTGAAAAATAAATTTTTCAGATTGTTCTAATAATTGAATTTCATTTCTGGTTGAACTCTAATTAAAGAAATTAATATTATATTCTATCTTTTATATTGGTTTAATAGGTAAAGATACTTACATGTTCGAATATATGATATAAAATTCTGCAACTTAAAAACTCGTCAATATTAAATCTATCTGAAAATTTATATGCAATTGCTAAAAAAGCATCACCAGCATTGACAGAGTCTGTTTTGTATGGAAAGCTTTTCTTTTGATTTAATTCATTTCTAATATTAGCACTATCTGGCCCTTTACTCTTTAATGAAATGAAACGTTTGGCATCTGTAAAATTATGTTTTTGAATTTGTAAAAATTTATTTAATGCATTTGGTTCCTCTGTTATAATATTATATTTTAATTTTTCAACTGGATCTTCAAATAATTCTACATCCATTTTATCTGTAATTATTTTTATTTTTATATTATTTTTTATATTATTATTATTATTGATATTGATATTATAATAAGGTTATTATTATGTCCCTGTTTATAAAAATAAATAAAAATAGTGTTTAAGACGAAAATAGTTATAAAGGATGAACTAATTATAATCGTCAACAAACAAAAATAATGATGATAAAATTGAAAAAAATAAAAATAAAAATGAAAAAAAATTAAAAAAATTAAAAAATTTAAAAAAAAAAAAAATAAAAAAAAAAAAATTGAAAATAATTTATAAAAAAAAATAATTATCTATCTCTTCAAAGTTAACTAGATAAAAAATTTATTTAAATGTTTGAAAACATTGTTTAATTTTTTTTTTTTAGGCTTTCCCTTTAACTCTGTAGCTTTTACCAGATTTTAAACTTTCTAACAAAGCATTACGTACTTTTCTAACAACATGTTTTTGTTCGCTGGTTTTTGTGGACATTGATTCTTCAGAAACTGAAACATGAGCAACGGTTGAGCTTCCTTTAATTCCGTTTATTTGAGCTTGGATATTATGATATCTGGTACCAAAATGGGTAAAAATACCTTGCATATCAATTCTAATGCTTCCATGATTTGCGATTGTACCAGCACTATTATAAAATATTTTTGAATATTCCAACTGAGCAATAGCTTCTGATGCATCTTTTTTTTGTCTAGAGCTTAAATTAGTAGCTCTATTTGGGATATCACCCTCTTTTTCAACTGATAATCCATATGTAATGGAGATCAATGAAATGACAATTAATAAAAAAAATATTTTTTTTAAATTCATTTTTTGTTTTTTTAATTTGAAATATAATGATAAAAATATATTTTTTTCCATGTTTAAATATGTCAAATAAATAATAAAAACAAAAAATAAAATAAAATTATATTAAAAAGTTGTTTAATTATTATAATAAAAATCAAAATAGTTTCTATTTTTCATTATGTGTAAAATAATGAAAGGTTAAAATTGGTATGATATTCATCTATTATTTTTGTAAGGAAATATTTTATAAGAATTCAAAATAATGGGGGGTGGGGGTATGAAATAAAACCATATAATAAACTCTTTTTATTGTATCTAATATAAAGAGGAAACATTTTACTTTTTTGTAAAATACTTTATAATAACATCATTTTATGTCATACTTCATCTTTAACATTTTTATAATAAATTGAATCTCGGAAATCCATTTTTTTTGAAAAAAATTAATATTTTTTTGATGATGTTTTTTAAAAAAAAATACCACCAAAATATCTATATTTAAACAATGTTAGGTTGGAATACTTATTTAATCACATAAGCTTAAATTTTCAAAAAAAAAAAAAAAAAAAACTGGTGTATGACTTGAGCAATGATTGAAAGACATAGATAGATAACGAAAGATGAAATAATAAAATAATAATAAAAAAAATAAAATAAATAAAAAAAAAATGTTAACATTTATGTTTTTATTTTTAAAAATATTTTATTCTAATTTTTATAAAATATTTTTATTTAATATTTAATATAATATTTTAAATTAAAATAAATAATGTAAGTTATTAAAAAAAAAAATATTTAAAAATATTTTTTTTTTTTTTTTTTTTTTTTTTGGGACATATGGAAAACAGGAAAAAAAAAATTTTATTAAAATAAAAATTAATTTAAAAAAAAATTTACAAAACCGAACAATGAACAATTCGAAAATAATAATGTTAAAAAAAAATAAAAAATAAAAAAAAAGAAAAAAAAAAAGTTTAGAAAAAAATTAAAAAAAATAAAGCTAATTTTTATTTTTAGTTTAGTGAATATATAATTTAATATAAAAATAAACAATGCCTTCGGATCCTAACAGGTAAATTATTATTAATACCATTATTATTTATTATGTGTTTTATTTTCTTGTTTAATTATTTTTAATTATTTTTTTTTATTTTTTTATTTTTAAAATTTTTAAAATTTTTAATATGAAAAATAAGATAATCATAATACTAATGTCATATTTTCTTTTATGTAAAAAATAGCCCCGAAATTTTAGCGACACAGATTTTAGGCAATGTTCTCATTGCTGCTATTGTTTTATCAAATGTGTATGTAGTTTATAACTTTCTGACCATTTTATATATTATCTAATAAATACAATATTTCACATAAAATAAACTATTTTTTGAAATTATAAACCAAACTAATTTTTTTTTTTTTTTAAAATATAAATCATTATAGACCATACTTTTATAAAATAGAAATGACCCGTGATGTTGGGGAGTTTAATATCTATCCTTTTGTTTTCATGATTGGTCAAGCTTTGATGTGGGTTGTAAGTAATCGAAATTAAATAGATACACAAACAAATATAAAATTATTAATATATTTAATTAAATATAACAGGCTTATGGTACAATTAGTAATATTCAAGGTCTAGTACCAGTAAATGCATTTGGTTTAATTTTCAACCTTGCTTTTATTCTTATATATATTAGTGCTTCAAGAGATACAAAAAAAGTAAATTTTTTTTTTTTTTTTTTTTTTTTTTTTATATTCTAATTACTAATATATTTTTTTTTTTTTTTATAGAAAAGAATAGTAATGTCTAGTTTTGTTATTTATATTGCAATATTAGTATCTTTTGTTTTAATTATATTTTTCCAAGCACCCAAAGAGAAAATTCAACCAATTCTTGGTTGGTTAACCTGTAAGTATATTCATTTTTAATATTGGATATCTTTAAATGTAGGGCAGTAACTCTAAATTTTTACTATTTATTTATTTAAACAGGTATTTTGTTAGTAGCATTTTATTGTTCACCAATTTTAAACTTTTATTCAATGTATAAACAAAGAACTACAGGATCATTATCAATTCCATTATCCATTACATCCATTTTATCTGGTGCAGCATTTGGTTTGTACGGATACTTTTTAGAAGATAACTTTGTATTAGTTTCCAATTTTTCAGGTTGTGGATCAGGTATCATTCAGATAATTTGGTATTTTATTATGAAGATTATTATTAAACATTCCCCACCCCCACCAAAAAAAGATGATGATAATGGAATGTCCATTTCATACGAAATGGAAGAAAATTTAAAAAATAAAAAGAAAAATAAAAATAAAAGCGTCAACAATAATAATGACAAAAATAACGATAACGACAATGACAATGGCCCAAATGATAATATAGACAGTCCTGATGATAATAATGATATAATATCAGAAACCAAAACAAGAGAAGAATAAAATAATAATATAAAATTATACTACATATTGTATAGAAAAAAAAAAGAAATAAAAACTATTTATTTAACCTGAAAAAAAAAAAAAAAAAGTTTGTTTTTAAAAAAAATACATAATAAAAAAATTTAAGAGTTTATTTAAATAGCGAAATTTTAAAATACTAATCACTATTTTTTATTAGTTTGTTATTTTGAGGTTTTGGGTTGTTGGTTTTATTATTTTTAATATTATTAATATTATTATTAATATTATTATTTACTATATTATATTTGTTTTGTTAATTTTTTTTTAAAATATTTTATTTTTAGTTTTTTTTTTTTTTTTTTTTTATCATGTATATATATTTTTATATATTTTTTTCTGAAAAAAAAAAAAAAAAAAAGTTATATAGTATTTTTAATAATTAATAATGGTGTTAAATATATTTTTTAATAAAGTTTCTCTGACGGCGTGGAAAACAAATTGAATATTTGCGGTATCAATGGCACAAGTAAAATGAGAGAAAATTCTTTGGTTACCACTTGATTTGTCTAAAAACATTTTCTTGATATATTGAGTACTGTTGTCAAAAGATAAACCACCATTATAATCGCTGAACCATTCTGATAGGTCTATTTTTGCAATCTTTTCACGGAAAAGATCTACTTTATTGAAAAATATAATAAAAGCTGTATTTCTAAACCAATGGCTATTGACAATTTCCTCAAAAAAAAAAAAGGACCCTTCCTTCTATTTTGGGTCCCCCTCCCACGAAAAGGTTGGGCGGTTCCCCTAAGGCACCCCAAAATATACC